AAACCGACGAGCGTCATATTTTTATAGAGGCACATTTCCTTTGATGTCTTATTTGCCGCTTGTAATCTGGAATCTTTATCAGGTATTAGCTTCTGATTGACCACAAAGACTGATTTTGTCACCTTCCATTCTTGAAACCTAGTCGGGGAGTGGGAGCTTGGGACAACCAATGGGAGCAGCTTTTGGAGTGTGATTGACAGTACCAAATCATTGACGCCCTTTCTCCGAAGTTTTTTTGGCACTCCAGATCACCAACAGAAATCGAATGAACTTTCACCAAACAGCCCCCAAAGTTTTTGTTGCAATAAAAAGCCACAGATAGGCCTTCTGATGTACATAAGAGATGCTGCATACGTAAAACAGATACTGCAGATATACATCAATGTCACAAACACTGACCTTGTATAGTGTCTGATGGTGTTATCCCCCACCTCACTTTTCAATTTTTTTTGCCTAGCAAGTCTTACACCTCCATCTTGCCCCATTCCTCCCCCCTCCCATACCGGCAAGATTTAGGCAGATGGAAGAATTCATCCATACAGGCCTAGACTGACTGTCCAAATAATGCAAATAGGTTGGTAATTTCGAACAACACAAATCAAATCATTTTAAAATAAAAATGTTGAATATTTCCCATTGGCTTAAACTTGGAGACGGTTTCGAAGCGTCGTATGTCTGCTCGCGAGCTCATTAGTAATATTTTGTGATCTCACGGTTTCTTATATTTTACAATGAGACGAGCCATAATTACGAGGGATCATAGAATTATTTATATAAATCCCGAATTTGGAATTGATAGTTTGCGGTTCAGAGTATTTCTTTCACAAAAAGCCCCACAATGCGGGCCTATTTTGGATAGAGGCAGGCAGCTACATTCACATGAGCGCATAGTTTTACTAATATTAGGGGATATCTTCGGGAAAAGGCGAATAAAAAAGTTCATAGAATTGAAACGAAAAGTGATCGATCTGGCCATAATCTTGAATTTCTGGCAGAAAAAATAATCCTGAATTTCCAGCAAAAAAAATGGAGGCCAACCTCTTCGCGAGGTTCAAGAGTCGGTGCTATTCCGTCTACGGGCGTGTACTTGGTGTAATACAACCATAAGACTCAGTGGGTCCGAGTTGACTCGAGGTGGGTCCGAAGTGGCGTGGGTCCGAGTTGGCGTGGGTCAGAGCTGGCGTGGGTCAGAGCTGGTTGTGGGTCCGAGTTGGCGTGGGTCCGATTTGGTCCTGGGTCCGAGATGGCATGGGTCCGAGTTGGAATGGGTCAGAGTTGGTTTGGGTCAGAGTTGGTTTGGGTCCGAGTTGACCTGATCCCATATTCACACACTCACCCAGTACATGTTAATGCGTGCTTCACCAGTTACGATATTGAAAACAAAAAATCGAACCTTTTTAAAAATGCATTTTGATCTTTCCATGCACCATTCTGACAAATACGTCATAATACATACTGACCTATGACATATGTAAATTAAGTATTTTACCTCAAAGACCAACAACTTGCGGTGCAAAGTCGACCAATTGATGAAAAATCAACGGACAATTTCCTAGACACAGCGACGAGTTTTGGACGCCATTTTTGTGGTGCCCGATCTCCACGTCGTGAATTTATGCATGTACTACATTGCATGCGCCCTATACCAATTGCCGCATACCAGTCTCTCAAGCTCGTTCCAGGGAATTGTTTTCAACCTCGTGTCCTCTTTATAGTGGTAGAGCGAGCTGAGCCAAAATATTACCACAATAATCCCACGATTGGGATGGTCTTTTGGGACTACCTACAAAAGGGGGTTACCCCGAAGGGGGGGGGGATCTGTTTAACAAAAGGGGTAAAAAGGACATCCACTTTTGGTTTTTTACATCAAATACATATACTGCTAAACCTTACCATTTATTACAAGCAAAACCGAAACCAAATCCAACCAAAACAACCCCCTCACCCCCAAAAAGACAAAAAAACCCAAAAAACTAACAAACAAAAACCACCAAATGTGAATGAACAACAATCACCCCTCCATTCATTATTAAGTACATTAATACAGCACTGAACAGAATTCAGGCACAGGACAAGAAAATGTCACAAAAACACTGCTAAAGGCACGCAGACAAAACTGGGCCAAACAAGGAAATAATGCCACAGTCCACACAAAAGCCAAGTATATTTTGCCATTTATTTACATCAATTTATACAAATCCACATTTAAGAGAGGTACTCTTAACCACAGCACAAATTTCAATAAAAAAGAGACAACATCACTGACTGCAATACAGTTATTTATCACAGTACTTGATATGCACGTCCAGCACATATAAGCAGAACATAGTGATTTTAAGAGAGATTCAAGTACACCATGCATGATAACATGTCCAACATGTATCCTTGTTCTACAGTCAGACAAGAAGTGTTTGTACAAATATAAAATAGGTTAAATAGTGGAACAAGTGAGTCTGAGTCACTGAGTTTGGACCGAGACAAAAAAGTGCTAGTTGTGGGTAGCAATGTTATTGCCAATTCACGATCATCTAAAATGCTTGTAACGTACATACCTGAATATTAAGTAATAATATCATATAACCATCCTTTGGATTGAAATGCCCTTTGGTAAATACATATTGACCCATCATAACTCTGTACACTAACATTTCTGCATAAAATTTGGCTTGCAGTACTCAGTACTACAAAATACTAAGCAGAAGTCTGAGCCTGAAGGACCTACATGTAGCGCTACAAATTACTACTTCTGCCTAGGGCACCCTCTATTGTTACTTGTAGAGAGAGTAATAAAGTTGTGCATTCATAGTGCCAGAGCACTGTATGGTACATTGTCTTTTCTATTGTATTTTATGGCTTCACAGGACAATAAAGTCATGTCCTCTTACAAGCGACAGCACTGAATTCTACATTTTAAAACTAAGTAGTACTTTGTAGTATTTTGGGCTGTTCAGGTTAGCTAAAGCAGGTATCTGCTCCGACAGCTTTTCACAGATGGTTTGAATAAGGTACCCTGATGCAATTTCTGTTGTTTTTCATTCAGCAGTCTGTGTAAGGCAATTAAAAATGCCTCCAAAAAGTTACAAATTAAGTAGTTGACCTCCAACTGCTTGAACCATCACAGTCAAATAGCTAATCCATGTGCCCTGCAACAGTACACAGACAAATGACATGTCACTTGATTGGTTTTGAATGAAAGAACGGTTGGGTCAGGAGGGTTTTAAAGGTGACACCACTTTGCCGAATGATACCCAGAGTGAATAAAACACCCCTACATAAGACAATTTTGAATAATTACAGCAAATGCAAATGGTGTATATTGGGAGGACAAAGTCCTTCTTTTGTCTTTGTCTTGACTGGTTTTAAAATGATTCGGACAATTGTTTTTTTCACACTAGAATATGAGAGGGCTGCTTTTATGACGCTCACAATAGCAAGTTACACGAAGGACATCTTCCAATTTGCTGGGGCAAGACCCCCTCCAACCTTCCCAAAGTGGACAGGTGTTGAAAAATTTCAGTTTAGGAGCTCCATGCCTCATAACGTCATAAAGACAGTGGATTTTCAGTGCCTTTCTTGGTAGGATGGGCCCACTCCAGGCCGTCCTGGATTCCCAAAAATGTCGGAGGTTGGGCAGCGTGACACTCCAGAGGAAGAAGCCCGAGCAGGCTGCAATGTCAAGCTCCTCGAGGGTGCCTGATGACATGGTGTACTGAGGGTACGACTCGCTGTCCCTGAAGGGTACAGCGACTTCCAGCTTGAATCGCCTTAGCTTGGGCAGCTCTTGGAGAAGCTTGTTCAACAGCCTTTGGGGCAGGCCATGAAAGACCCAGTACTTGGATAGCTCTAGGGTTGTAATGCACTTGAACTGGCACAGGAGGGTGACGGAGTAGGGTGACCAGTCAAAGGGCATGGTGAAGCCCTGAACTCCACGACTGGTGTCCTTGAGGACCATGAGAAGCTTGTGGAAGGATGTCACCCGAGACTCCTTGGCATCCACCGCAGCACCACTGAGGAACCAAGGAACATGAGGGGTGTACGTCCAGTTGAACTGGATGGTGTGGAGTTCCTGGGCGTGTGTCATCTGCAGTAAGTACACCACCAGCTTGAGCCATATCTCATCCCCCTCGTGCAGGTCAAATTCAAACTTGAGCTCGCGAAGAAGGGCTCGTCGAGAGACAAGGTGGAACACAAAGTTCTTGACCCTCTCCTTCAGAACCTGACACTCCAAGGTAGGTGATGGAATAGGGAAGGGTTTGTTCTTCTGGCGGTAGAGCAAGTCAACAAAGTTGGCCTTGGTCCACAGGCATGGAGTTCGTATCAGGTTTGTCCAGGATGTGCACACCAGAGCAGCCGTGCATTTTTCCTTGTCCGTTAAATAGCTGAGGATTTTCAGCCTGCATTCCTCTGGGAGGTCCCCAAAGGGAAAGACGTCATCTCGCTTCTGATCTTTCTGGGTTTTCTTTCGCTTCATTGTCTGTGACGATTTGTTCCTGAGACCTCTCCGCTGTCTCCCCGAGGTTTTCCGATTAGTTTCTGCCATTGAACATGTTGAATGGCTGGCCCTGCAAAGAAGAATAAGTCATATTGTTCAATGCCAGAATCTTTGGTCTTGCGCAGCATTTGGGATTTCTCTGAATTTGGAATGCGAGTTGGAGCACAGAGCTACATCAAGTATGTGGGGGATGGATAGTTTGGATGTAAAATAACAGTTATGACAGCTTTAGGTGATATCTACCATCGTATTTGATGAAACACTGCAAAAGGCTGTCTTAGAGGTCATTTCAAAAACATGTAGGTTAAAGATTAAAAGATCCATGGTAACCGAGCTGAAAAGTTTTTAAACTCGCAGTTGGCTTGCTTTCAAAAATAAATGCATCTTTCATATCAGTTCAAGTCTAGTTCTGGGTTCAGTTCCCGGATTATGATGATACATGATAAAGACAAGTACCTAGTATTACCTGTGAAAACAATGACAAGTTTAGCTGGAACTGATCCGGGTCGGAGAGTACATTGAGATTTCTATCTAGATTGGTTACCCATGGAGGCATAAAAGTGTTATCAACTAACACTAAGAACGTCTGGGACTAAGACACGAATTATGTAAAACCAAACCCAAATGGTGCACGATATGCGGCAGCACTTTCGACCGCATGTCCGATGTAGGGTCTACAAGCTCTACAGAT